ACCAAAGGTAAAAACCTTGACCCGTTGTCTATGACGCAACAAGAACCAGAGGTATAAAGTTGGTTGACGCCACACCCTTGAACGATTAAGAACAACAATGATAAGTCAGGTTAGAACGCCACAAGAATAATCTTGATAAGTTCTGTAAAGTTCTGAAACGAACCAAAGAGAAAAGCCTCTCAAAATCTCAGATTCAATAGCTTCCCAATTAGGGTTACAAGCCCCTTTAAATAGGGAAAAGTAATTCTAATAAGAATAGGAAACTAAAACCCTAAACCCTAATCATAATAACCACGAATTGGGCCTTAAATAGATGAATGTTCAGCCAAAATAATATAAAAAACGTGAAAATCATTAAAAGTAACCTAAAGTAACATGAAATATCAGTTTGTTACAAATTGCGACAGAATTGCGAGATTGACGAAAACTGTGTAAGTTTATCATGCCTTGATAATCATCCAAGCTTCAATTTACTTCTTGCATGTTGTTATCAACCCAGATCTGCTCAATAAGGCCATTTAAAGCTTCTTGCATCTTCCTAGCTCTAGCTCTCGTGACTGGACCTCCTAGAATGTGTAATGGATCTCTTGACATGGTACATGTGGGGTCATCTTGATTCCCATCATGTAGCCTAAACATGGTAGTATAGAATTTTGTTTTTTTGTTTATTTTTTTATGCAATTTGAGATTGTTATAGTGTGTGAGTATATGTAATTGTACTTAACGTTTTTAAATGATTAGCCACCATTTAAATTGATTTTAAGGTCGTAAATGAGACAAAGAGGAGATTTTGTGCAATAGTTTCTAATAATTTATACAATAAATTGAACAAAAGCCAAAGATGACCCAACATGATTTGTGTAGCATTAATGATAAATAGACTTAATTTTCCAAATAAACTAGGGAATGTCACAAAATTTAAAGCATTGGTACCGAATTAAATTCACAATGTAATGGGTTATTAAGTTAGAGTATGAAATAAGTTAAGAGTTCCAATTGTCATATAAATAGTCTCAAATGCATATGAATCTAGAATTTTATATTGTCTAGTTATGATTAAGTTATATGCCTTAGTGTGTTTTGCCTTGGTCAACCCTTAACTTATATTTGTATATTTCTTTAAGTAGTTGTTTTTACTTTAAAATTAGAAAACCTTATTTCTATTATTTAAGTAATTCTGAGATTAGTTGATGAGAACCCCAAAGAGAACAATGAGACCCACAGCACGACAAGGGATTTCTAAACTCCAGGAAAGTTAAATCAGGTTTATAATAGGACCTTGACCCGTTGTTTATGTCGCAACAAGAACCAAAGGTAAAAACCTTGGCCCGTTGTCTATGACGCAACAATAACCAGAGGTATAAAGTTGGTTGACGCCACACCCTC